AGTGCATCATGTCCAATTTCTGGTCTATAATAACTTAAATTACATGATCATGAATTTGTTTTGGAGATTAGATTGTGGTCCGAAACTTGAATTAACTGTTCATTGAATGGGACTGACTCTTATTGATTCTTATCCTGTTGATTACGTCCCCAATTTATGGAGTCACTTTTATAGATTCTTGAACCAGTTCATTCAATGGGACTGAATGTTGTCTAATTTTTGGAGGTCAGTTTTTCCTATGTGCAAACATGTGCCAGAAGATAAGTTTAGTTTCAATTTGTTTCTTGAAATTATTAGATTAACTACAAAGCAGTTGAGCCTACAGGTAGGGAAATAAGACTTAAGAGATGAAAAAGAAAAAGAAAGATAAACGGCTACTGCATTATTCATATCCTAGAACTAAATCCAACTGGAAATGGATTAAGACTACATAGGAAGCATCATAAAAAAGCAAAATCAATATATGTTAAAAATCGCTGACATGTGTACTGGTGTGGGCATTTTATCTTCTTTGAGTGCAATAGTTTTAAGTTCTAACTACAGAACAGTACACATCTTTTCTGAGCATCAAGGATCGGATCTACTGTCAATAACATAGTATAATGAAGAAAGCAACAGTTTGTACACATTTTCAGAAGATAAATTTACTTTCAGTTAGACTATTCTAGTGTAAGCTCCTTGTGATAATATTTTTTCTTCACATCTCTATTGTAGAATGAATATTTTTTCCTCTGAATTCTGGATATGCATTCTGATATGAGCACTTTGATGACAGAGGAATTTAGCTGCACTCCAGTATTGGCACCTAGTAGCAGACTACTGTCTTGTTTTACTGAATTTGATGAAGGTTCATGAAACCTTGTAGCCCAGCCCCATTCATCAACCTGCTTAGCCTTCCTCTTTACTTTCTTTGAGCTCACTCCACTATTTTACAAGGGCAGTCCTTAAACTTGTCCTTGTATGGTGCTATTTAGGCTTCTGAACTCTTAAATTTGTTATGTAGAATTTTAATTTGTTTAATATTGTTGATGGATACAGAAGGAAATGTCAGATCTTGAGTCTTTGCTGGAGTACAATGAAATTGTCAAGAAGATGTTTGCTAATGAAGAAGAAGTATTTCAGTTCTATAACAACTACGGTTTTGAGAAGGATTTAGTGTGAGGAGAAGCTATTGTGAGTGGGACAATGACCACAATGAGATGACTCTTCGGAAGTTCGTTTGCAGTCGTCAAGGTTTCCGTGAAGAGAAGCAGTTGAAGAGGGCGATTAAGAAGCGAAAGCCGCGGAATATTACCCGTGTTGGATGCCTTACTAAATTTGTGATTGCACGAGATCAGATCACAGGGCAGTGGTATGTGAAGGATTTCATCGAAGAACACGACCATCCGATGGCGCCAGCAGAGCTTACTTGTCTGCTACGTTCACATAGAAGAATCAGCTATGAGCAGAAAGCTGAGATTGTGGAGATGGAGAGTTCTGGGATCTGCAAACACAAGATAATGGATATTTTGGAAATGCAGTATGGTGGGTATGATAAGGTTGGGTGTACAACAAGGGACTTGTATAATTTCTGCCATCGCTATAAGGCGGAGACAATTGCTGCCGGTGACGCTCAAACAGTCATTAGTTACCTGACGGAACTTTAGCGTAGAGATCCTGATTTCTTTTTCAAGTACATGGTTGATGGGGAAGGACACCTAAAGGGACTATTCTGGTGTGATAGTCAATGGCTGCTTGATTATGAAGCATTTGGTGATGTCGTTGTATTTGATAGCACCTACAAAACTAATCGGTACAACCTACCCCTTGTTCCTTTTGTTGGGGTGAATCACCATCGAAGCACAATTATTTTGGGATGTGGGATTATTTCTCATGAGAATATTAAGTCATATGTGTGGTTGCTGAGTACATTTTCTGAGGCCATGATTCAGAAGCATCCGGTCTCCGTGATCACTGATGGAGACCTTGCTATGCAGAGAGCAATCAGGCTGGTGTGGCCGAATTCATCGCATAGGCTCTGCATATGGCATATTGAGCAGAACATTGTGTGTAATCTTAAGGATGATGTTGTCATGGATGAATTCAGGAGTTTCCTTTATGATTGTTGGTCCATAGAAGAGACTGAGAGAAAATGGCAGGAATTTTTGGATAAGCATAAGGTTACAAATAAGGAGTCATGATTGTATCATATGTATGATATGAGGGAAATCTGATGTGCTTCGTATCATACTGGTAAGTGCTACTTAGGACTGAGGAGCAACCAACGGAGTGAGAGCCTAAACTCTAGGCTTTATATGCGTCTAGATCATAAAATGACACTGCTTGACATGGTAAAGCACGTGGAGCACTGCCTTTTAGGGTTGCGCACAAATGAGGCAAAGTTGGACACTGATGCATTGCAATCTGAGGCATGCACATAACCAGATGCTTCAATTATTGAGATAGAAGCCGTGAAATCGTTCACTCCAACAGTTTTCGCCACGGTGCAGTTCAGCATAAAGGCAACCAAGAAGTGTTTTTCGATTGACATTCTAGATGGCGATAATATGAGTGAGTATATTATTGGCAGGAAGGATAAAGGAGATATGATGTACTATGTCAAATGTCAATTTTGTGATGAAGACAATCTGAAGGAAATTTCTTGTTCTTGTGGTAAGTTACAATCAATTGGAACCCCCTGCTCACACATCTTCTTTGTATTGGGCGATCTGGATGAAGACAAGCTTTTAGACTGTTGTGTTTTGAAAAGGTGGACAATGGGGGCGAAGAGTGCATTTCCTCCGAAAAGGAAGAGCACCATGTATGACTATTCCAAAAGCCTACCGAAGTACCGTGAGCTACGCAATATCAGTCACACTGCAGCCTTCGCAGCATCTCGTTCACTTGAATCATATGAGCGGCTAAAACATGTTCTGCAGGATGAAGCTGCTATGAACCTGCCAAATGGATGAGATAACAGAGGCAAGAGGTATGGTCCGGTGCTGCCACAAGCCCCGAATGTTGATTCTGTAGCGTTCAGTAATGTGCTGGATCCCTTGCATGTGCCTGGAAGAGGGGCCCCGAAGAAAAATTTGAAGTCAATTTCAAATACGAAGAAATCTAAGGTCAAATGTAGCCTGTGTAAGGATAAGGGTCACAATCGACGAACATGCTCCATGAGAAAAGAGGTAGTTCATCTAAGTTGAAAACATGCCATCTGCGAGGCATGTGTAGTTATGACTGATGTTTGTCCTCTTCATTTGTAGGAATCAAAGCTCCCTGAAGATGTTCTTGATATATGATTTGCCAATGATGAGTTTGTTGTTGCCTATTGTTTATAGGTACGCTAGTGAACAACTTATGATTTCCCATCATCTTTGCAAATTGACATGCTGCTATTTTGCACAGCTGAAAACTGATAGCTTAATTCGTAGTGCCTGCCTGATGTTCGGATATATGTAGAGATGTGCTTTGTAGTAGCCTGTGTTATGTCGTGGTGGCATGGTGAGGTAGCGGTTTCTCATTTGTTTGGAACTTTAGATCTGCAATTTTGGAGTGGTAGTTGTCCTTCCTAAATCTTAATCTATTTTTTAAACACATTAATTTACTGTGTTCAAGTTTTCAAGCAAGTATTATTATGATTTTTTGTTAGAACTAATATGTGAATATGTACCCTTTTTTTCTTTTCCAATTTAGGGAGGATCTGCTTGGTCAGAGTAAAAAGGCAGATGACATGAGCAGAGTTGCTGGGTTAGATAACCAAGGAATTGTTGGCCTTCAGAGGCAAATTATGAAAGGTATTGGTTTATTGTGGTTTGTTCAGTAGTGTTTTGCTCGATGGACCTTACTAAAAGGGTGCAATCAACTGTTGCATGGGATCATGTAGCACTGTTTCTTCACACCATTTGCATTTCATATTTGGTTGGTACAGATCTAGGTTTCTTGGAAATGACAGTTGTGGGAGCAAGGACCATTTCATGGTGCTTTATTTATTTGAGTTGTGTATCAACATTTTGCAGAGCAAGATGAGGGTCTTGAGAAGCTGGAAGAGAGTGCTGAGCACAAAGCATATTGCATTAGCAGTCAATGAAGAACTCACCCTGCACACAAGATTGATAGTTAGTGCCCCCTAACAAAAACCAGTAGTATTTGTGTCTTTTGCACACAAGAAGAGCCTTGCAATTCTGAACAAGCGCACCAAAGGGGGCTGCTCATGCATGTGCCTGCTTCTATTTGTCGTCGCCATCGTGATTCTTGCGGTCATTGTTTGGCTTCTCATCAAGTATCTGTAAAGAAAAGAAAGCAGCAGCCGGCTACCCTGCAGACCTCTCTCTCGAAATGTCCCTTATGTGTTACCAGCAGCCTTATTATTATGGGAATTTCTTTGAAGATGGTGGACCTAAGTTGTGTACTTCAGCCATGTTTACTTAGAGGAATCTAGATGAATCTGGAGGAATTTGTGAGAGAGTGAACATTGAATTTCAGCCATAAACAGTGAATTCCGACTGAAATTCACACCAGCCGAACGGCCCCGTGTAGACATGTAGTCATCTTCTATATAATGCATTTTTCTCAACACCGTTCATGAATAATCACTTGAAAATTTTGTTGGAGAACATCATGAGCTCATTATTTCCTGTTGACAGAAGATTTTGTGGTCGTAGAAGATGGTGATGTGCTTTTTTGTCGTTCTGGTCACTTTCATTCGTTGGGGATCTCCTGATCCAGTGGCCTCATATAGAATGCTGAGTTTGATGGGCAACGAACATGAACAATGATACTTTACTGTGAGATCAGATGCAAATACAAGCATCGTAGTCAATATTGCCTAAATCTAACGATAACCATCAAAAGTCAAAGAGCCTGGCGTTATACCTCTCTATGGCTCGAACAAATCAGCTACTGCTAGACTGAGATGAGCATGTGCACCACCACCTTGAAACAAGTGAAGTATACACAATGTACACTAGCCCTAAGACTTGGCGCCACCTAGTGCCTGGTTACACCATTCCTAAGCAAGCTTACTTCTCTTTCCAGAACCGAAGCAACCGAAAAGGAAACCCCAGTTTCTTCAAGCTGCTGCCACAGCATTTGCCCCATTCTGCAGTAAACAGCATCACAGGATCCTGCAAAGGGTGCCCATAAGAGGGTGCATGCACAGAGGAGATGGAAGCAAGCAAGCATAGATCAAGAAACGACAGAATGGGCAGCAGCAAGAGAGTGCCCCCGTACCTTCTGCTAGTGCTGCTGGCCATTGGAGCCGCTGTGGTGAGTGTCGGCATCCTGCACACGGAAACTATACGAAAATTTCATATACCGGGCCACACTCGTTGTCCAATAATATATGCATGCATTTCCGTGGTATGTAGATCCCATCTTGTACCTGAAAGTGCAAAAAGATTCGAGGCGTTCAAAAGGCTATCTATGTAATGCAAAATATGAAATACTAGCGTACTGTAGTTACCTCTACATTCATGTTGGCATGGACCTCCTCTTCTTGGATCAAGGACCGGCCCTCCTCTTGTTCGATCAAGTACTGAATCATTGACTTCAATTTTGAGCGCTCATTATCCAACTCCTTATCCATTTGTTCCCCTGCCTGCTTAATCATGGAGTCAACATTGGCTCGCTCTTTCTTTATGTTGGCATCATTTTCTTCAAGGACCTTTGATAAGGATTGATTTAAGACGGTGCGTTCCTGCTTCATCTTCTCGGCAAAGGCAGCACGCTGATCATGTAACGCTTGCTTCAGCAGGCGACCCAGTGCGACCTCCATTCTCACAGCAACGTCATTCTGCTCAATGGTTGACCCTTCGTCCAACAGTTTTCGCTGAGAAATTATGTACCGCTCATTTTGTTGTCGCACTTGTTTTGTTCTGATGTCAGCGTCGGAACAGTCAAGCTGTAACTTCAATTTCACATCCTCAAAGTCCGCCTTTAGTTTGGTAGCCATCTCGTCCCACTCCTTGAGGCGGTTTGTAAGATCCATGGTACCTGAAGTTTGACGTAGCATTTTCGTAAATCATAAACAAATAAAAATGGCTTAAGTTTTGAGCAGTGAATCATTGACAGTAGTAGAGAATAAAAATAATACACTATTTCTGTAAAATATATTGCTCAACATAATGTATCAGACAATAAATTGCATCTATAGCTGCACAAAAAGTATGATGTTGGAAAAAATGTATCAGACAATAAATCGTCGTTACATCCTTTCACTAATTATTGGAGCAGGGTATGAACATCTAACAAAATGTGGACAGTCTAATTATTAGAGGCTGAAATGTGGACAGTCTAATTATTGGTTATGAAGTTCCTGCGATGAGCATAATATTTAGCCATGTGGTGAAATTAAAATTAGGGATACATATATTCAGCATTATATTGAGCAGATTCAGAATTTTGTTATGCTATTGACAGAGGCAGACAACAATTACTAATCAAATATCAGGTGCACTGCATTGTGTGTTTAGCTGTTTGCTGCATCCCACCCACCACCAAGTAGCTGCAGTGGTGGATGCAGTTGTCCGCCCGTCCGAAGCGGTCGAGGCCCAGGTTAGCAAGTTAATATAACACTAAGAATGCATGTACTATATTGGCTGTATAGGGATTCAAAACGAATGCAGCATATACAAGGTTACTAAAATTATGAGACAGGTGAAAGCATTATTTTTGATGAAACAGGTAGAATCTTCGTCTAGAAATCAAAATAGATCTCGTCCTCTTTGTGGGACACACAATGTATAACAAAACAAACTACAACCCTATGAGGGTTCCATCTCTGTATACACAACAGTTTCCCTACATATGAAATATTGCAAAATGAAATCACTGAATGTCTGAATCACTAATACCTCAGTACCTCACTAAGGAGACAGGCGAGTGGGACGCCGCCCAAATGAAGAGACGCGCAGGCCGTCAGGCCGGACTCCGAAGGCTGAGGCTGGGGTGCACCGGCGCAAAGCCAGCGGGCAGCTGGCCGGCAGAGGGCGCCGCGGCGAAATCGGCCGCGGAGGGCGGGGCGCCGGGGACAGTCGCGACTCGCGACGCGAGGACGGGGACGGGGGCGCGGGGCGACTCGCGAGCGCGGCGGCCGCTCGAGACAGGGACGGGACGCGAGCGCGGAGTCGGGAGACGAAGCCGGAAGGGCCGAAGGGGTCGTACGTGGAATGAGTTATGAGAATGGGCTCTGTTGCTCGCTTAGTGGACCGGCGGAACATTGGGCCTTATTGGGCTGGTAAGCTGAGAACTGGGAAGAAGCGAGAAATGGCTCAGGTCGCGAATCAGTCGCCTTCAACCTATCCTAAACATCAATCTACAGTGAACTTTCTAAAAAAATCAATCTATGGTGAAAACAAAAAAAATCCTTGGATCCATCCCTGCACCCGACTGAAAAATACGACCTACAGTCCTGCACTGACTTAAACCCTAATCCACCCCGAACCAAAATCTAGAACCTAAATGCACTCTAAAAACTCTTCGCATGGAAATCTAGTAGCACGTCCATACCTTCTGGAGGGCCGTGTGACCTCGCCGCGGGTGACCTGGATCCGAGGCTGTGTGACCTCGCCGGGGGTGACCTCGATCGGGCCACAGAGATGGACCGGATGCGGCGGTGGTTATGAGATGCGAATTGCTGGGGATGTGATGATTGAAATCAATCGGGGATAGGGAAACTACTAATTTATACTCCTTGGGCTGGGCTGTATGCAATGGCGATCGACGGAGAAGATTCGTGTATCTGGGCCCATTCCCGGGTGCCGCGCCGAGGCCCATGCACGCACACCTTGTGACGCCGTCTGGAGGTGGTGAGGTTCGAGATTTCACGCCGGTCGTGTAGGCTTGTTGGGCGGTTTGAGGCTGGTGAGGCCAATATTCCTTAACAGGCCCATAAAAATCCTTTTTTTAGTTTTTTTTTCACAATTTATGTTTAACCTTTTAAATTAAATATTCCAACTACATTTATATTTTTTTGATTTTGAAAACCTATTTGTATCATGGTCATATTTTTACATATTTTTTTAACCTTTTAAATTCAACATTCGAACTACATTTATAATTTTTGAAAACCTATTTGTATCATGGTCATATGGATGATGAATATTGAAGATAAGAAAACCTATTTAAATTCTTGAAAAAAAACTATTTATATTGTTTCAAACATACATGAACTTGCTGCAGGGACAAATTAGTTCATTCTAATATTTATATCCAGCAACTTGAGTGGCACGTCATCCAATCAAGTCCTATCGAGTGCCATGTCATATGCCATCGGAGTGCCCAATCGTGTCCAACTACTATCATGTTAGTCCCACTCAGATGAGACGTCAGAGTGGAGGTTCAGTTGCTATCGTGCCAGTACTACAAGTCCACTAAGATGAGACATGAGAGTTATCGGTTCACTTCTTATCGTGTTAGACCTATTAGTCCACTCAGACGACAAGTGAGAATATCAGTTTAGTTCGTATCATGTTAGGACTATTGGTTCACTCTGGCGAGACATGAGAGTGATCGGTTCAGTTGCTATTGTATATGTCGTGGTGTCGTACTGATAGTGCTATGTCATGACCAACAACTTGATATGCACTCTCGTCCTATGGAGTACCATGTCATATGCCACCGAGTGCCCCATCATGTCCAACGACTATCATGTTAGTGCCACTCAGACAAGACGTCAGAGTGGAGGTTCAGTTGCTGTCGTGCCAATACTACAAGTCCACTAATATGAGACATGAGAGTTATCGGTTGACTTCTTATCGTGTTAGACCTGTCCACTCAGACGACAAGTGAGAATATCGGCTTAGTTCCTATCATGTAGTGCTTATTACGTGGCACGTTTAGTGGGGCAGCATCTAAAGGGGGGAAATACAGGGAAATGCATTTTTATAAAAAGATAAGCAAACAATTCTAAAATTTAAGTTCATAAATTTTTTTAAAATAAATTCCAAAAAAATGGAAAATAGGCCAAATGGGCAACTTGCCAAAGCCAAGTTTAACCACAGTAGGGAGCTTAACCACAGTAGGGAGCCACGTCGGCCCAATATGGCCCAATAGCATACTAGCGATGGGCTTACTGTCTCTTCTCATTGACTGTTCTGGAGAACGTGCCCGCCATTTCAAAACGGGGTACCGTGACTCACCGTGGCCATTTCAGTTCCACTTTCCTAATTTATAGGATCTCAACAACCTGCGGCCCTCTCTCCGTTCTCAGTTTCTTTCGGCGGCACAGTTTCTCTCGGCGGCAATGGCTACACCACTCGGCACCATGGATAGCACAGGAGAAAGAAGACGGCACAGTAATTCATCGCCGGCAAACGGCAGGGTTGAAGGTAACTGATATACATCTCTCCTTCATATTCATTTGATGTATGCATTTGTGTTACTACTACTATCTCCACGATTAAAGGACGAAAACCATGTACTGCTATTGTGCCACATAAACATCATTGCAATTAGTACTAAGATCTACTGCTTTTAGACATGGCTTCTGATTTGTGAGGCTTAGGTTAATACATCTGGATCCATCACATGAACCCGTCTTGCATGCACGCCCGATGCCGTTCCATGTTTTGCACTGTACACCACCGATTCCTTTCATCCGATCCGGGCCCTAGCTGCCAAGGGATAGAAGCTACAGACACACCTGCACCACCTTTCATATATATATACAAACACGACGCACCCGCAGACTGAGAATGAGCATTAGTGTCAACATATAGAGAGGAACAGTAAAGAGTAATTTTCCTGATTTGAAACAGCAATGCTACTATGCCAGACAGATGTAGTGCATTGAAATTAGCTACAACCAGAATTGAGTTTATTTTTTTTTTTAAAAAGAGAGGTGTTTGAGCATGTAAAACCGTCCAATCTGTTCATATGAGCCTCCAGTCTCCTCTCTAGTAAAAGCCTGCTGGGAACAAATCATTGCTATGTTTGAGTTCATATGAGCCTCCAGTTCGAGGACTCGAAGTTCCCTGAACCATGCCTGTCCAATTTAAATGTCCAATTTAAACATAGTTTCATGGTTGTTTCAAGTTGACAGATGTCCTACCTTAATCAGGCCGGCCAAGCAGTGAACATCAATGTCCTCAGGTACAACTCCTTTGTTCAGCTGGTCCCTCATGTGCTCCTCCTAGTCATTCTCCGGATCAAAGGGCAATTGCCAAAAGAATTGATCTTTACAAACTGAAATATATAAAGTCAAAAGATTAACAAAGTCTGAAAATTTACCTATGCCCTGCTGCTATCACTGTGGTTGAACTGCTATTCCTCGCCTGCTGTTGCATTGCTGCTATCCCTGAAAATAGACTCAGTGAAACTCTATAATTAGTGAAAACCTATTTTTGCACAACCAGATTACAACTGCAGCATTCATTATTAATATTTCTTATTCACATCATTTGATGCAGTTGACAGTGGTACTAGGGTTCATACTGAAAAAGTGTAGGGAGGGACAAGAAGAAGGTAATTTCCATATCCAATATCTCGTTCCTATTTTTGTGCAAGTAGCCTGTACATTGTTAGCAACTTATCATCGACCAACTGGTTGCTGCAGAAATATATGCATTTAATAAACTCAACTATGAGTTTTGTAAACGCTATAAAAGACTTATCGAGCGACCACAAGGATGCTATTAAGTATATGGGATTTGGGGGGCTGCTTCGTATGCCAGGGACGTGTCTCAGAAGACAAATGAATGAAAAAATTACAAAAGATACCAAATCAGCAACCAATGCTTCTTTATATGTGGTCAGAATGTTCCTATTTATCTAGAGGATGTCAGGGACATAATGGGACTCCAGATTGAAGGCATAGATGTTTTTAAACATGTAAACCAAGAGGAGGTCAAAGATGAAGACAAAAAAGTGGACATTGAATTGATGAAGAGGTATGAAGATGCAGACCACCTTCTCACGATAAGCAAGTTGAAACAAATGATATTGAAATCAGGCACTCCGGATGATGACTTCAAAAGACTATTTGTCTTG